AAAAAAAACATTGAAAAATATAAATTACTGTATATTTAACAATAATTCTCTTGTTTTAGCTACAATTTCGATTCTTCCATGCCTGAATGTCATTACCATACAATCATTTGGAGTGATGTCGAAGGACATAAACGGCGAGGGCGCGAGCAGAGAAACGTCGTTCGTCTTCCTTCAACTGGTCAACGCTCTGAAGAGTCTTCAAGCACGCGGAATCGAGGATGCCAGCAAATCTCTAAGCGACGTTGTACTTTGCAGAGAGGATGTTTATTATCGACTGTACCTCCTACAAGGGTTAGTATTTTCTCGTATAACGACAACTTGACGCAGTATAATAATATAATCGCGCGGATCTCCACGAACCCGTTATTCAATGTTTCACTTCCGTTTTGCAGGAGGTTAAACATAGACCCGAGCGACGAGTCTGGCGAGGAACGGGTCTCTTTGTGCGAATGCGCTCTAATAGCGCTGCAACAGTTGCATCTGACGGACGAACTGCCTCTCGTACAAGATTTACTGATACGTGAGAAAGCGGTTACACTCTCGCAGGTGAAAACTTATTTCTATTTGATTCTAATTCGCAGGACACGCAAGTGCAAATATTTCCAATTTAACCATAAATTTACTTTACCATGCCTACATACTTACGTCTTTTTTTAATTATTAAATTTGCATGCTTTTTTAAACTAAAAATTGTTGATAGCAATACCTTGTTATTTCGTGCATTTACAGTTGCTATTGTACGTCCCATATTTGTACTTACTAAATTTATTATAATCGCCGGCACAATCTGCATCCTTCGGATAAAATTACTGTTCAATTCTTTTGGCAATCAGGTGAAATCCGTGTTGGAATTCTCATTGTGGGGCCCGGCCGATGTGCCACTTGGTGGTCCACGGGAAAGAGAAGTGGCGCTTCAGAGATGGCTCGACCTCGAACGAGCGAATGTACTTCACGCTCTCATCAAGACGAAGGCAGCGTTGACCGTTATAGATGAATATCAATTATTATTCTTGGTACGAACTACTGCTAAAATTATGAGCGAGGCATCCATGCTTCTCGATGAGCAGCGTAAGCGCTTGTCGCAAAGATGCTGATATGTTCTGCGTCGTACATGATGATTTGTACAAATACCAAGTATTTGACGAGAAAAATTAATATTTATCGATAAGAAAAAAGTTATTCAAATGCAAAGATAATTTGTAACCAGTGTGCAATATAACATAACACAGCTTTTCCTTCATTTTTTAATTAATTAATTACAATTAATTTATGTTCCTCGACATTGACGGATTTTTTAAATGGTCGTTATGTAAGAACAATGTATAATTAATTTATACTAACGTGAGATTAAATCGTACGTTTGCTGGAGGAAAATGTATTTTTGTATATGCAGGATATATTGATGTATGTATAAATAATCTCGGGACATAGCTCAATGTTTATTTAATGTAATGTCTGATAAGATAAAGGTATTAGAAATGTGCCAATGCTCAATCAAAATGTGATTTTGCGTGTACAGTGTGCGTTTCTATGAATCCGTCACAAATCCGGAAGTTTAGAGATAGCTGCTTCAGGTCGTCTTCAGCAATGTGCGATAGTTATTTATAAATATTTATAGATATTTTACATACATATATTTGTAGAAATAAATGAATAATTACAAGGTGTCTACAAATTTTATATTTCAGAAAATCTACAATCACATAAAAGTAAGCGCAATATATGCCGTATTTATATGTTTAAAGAATGAGATGACTAACTCTATAATTCTAATCTACAATTCTAAAGAGATTATCTTTTAATATTTTTTAAATATATTTTTTATGGACTAGTACAAAATGAATTCTGAGAAATCGCATTTCTCAGATCCTTACAAAGTTATTTTCATTCTTTTTTTTAAATAGTTTATATTACACTCGATTTGTTACGTTGTCTCTTGATTGCCGTTTTCAGGGACACCATCCAATTCAATGTTTGCGCAAACGTCGGATACGATTTTTTCTTCATTGTTTACTTGGATTTCTGGTACGGTAACACTTTGCTTATTCGACGATGAGTCCCAAGAACATCCAACCACGTTTGTCAATTTGCTTATGAAAATATATATTATATTTTATGCATAATTCAGCAACATATAAATACATTTGACATTTTTTTATTATGCAATCTTCATTAGAAGCTTGCATAGAAAAGCTTGCCAATTTCATTTTTGCAATTAATTGTTATTATCATACCTTCTGTTAGAAGATGTATCGTTTGATATTAAACCATTCTGTTCTTCAACTCGTTGCTCATTGTCGCAATTGGACAATACTTGATCCTGACGTGAATATTCTTCGGTGTCATTCATCAAGTCTTTATTTTCAACTGTACCTATTTCTACTGTACTCACGTTCCCAATTGAGATCTGTACATTTGCCTTTTGAACTGTTTCGGAATTTTGAGATATTTTGACCTGTGGCAACGCCGGAAGGATCTTTTTCCACTTCGATAGCGGAGTTTCAGCTACGGTATGCCTCTTCTCTGCTATTTTGAACAATTTCCGACGTTCTTCTGTACGCTCCTGTCGTAGTTGCATCTAGAACAACACTTTGATATAAGTATAAAATTAATAATAATAAATATTAAAAATAACAATTAAGCATAAAATATTAAACGTTATACACAATTTAATGGAGCCCTATAATCTATATACCGCATATTCCCTTATACAGAGTAATCCAGACCAACCGCAGGAGCCAGCATGTACGTATTCCTCATGAAAAACTGAGTCGAAAATATTAATAGCAAAATGTTGAGGGGTCAATAGTTTTTGAATGGTGAACCTTTGAAACCGTCCAACCATGGCATGTAAAGTTCGCGCCGTCAGGCGCGGCGCAATCAAGCGGCCGGCCACATTCGCGCTTTGACGAATTTCGCATAACGCATAATGCATAAAGGAATTAACTAATCAAAATCCTTCTTTTCCATGGAATGGGAGAAAAGGAAAGATTCTGATTAGTTGA